TTTTAATATCTTGACTTCGACTTTGTACTTAAAAGTGAACATAAATAACCAAAGAAAATAATTATTTGCACTTTTTGTAAGGTTTACTTGCTATGACAAAAAAAAAGTAAAAAAACAATTATGTAAAAGGCTAAGGATTTACTTTTTGGTTGCACAAAGGTGTTAAAAATGATACTATTACACATCCAGTTTTTATTTGGGTTGATACAGGTATATTAAATGGAACTGATATTGAGGCAATATGACGTGAAACTGTTTATTTAAACTTAGTTTGTAATGTTGAACTAATAAGATTAAAATGTTAAATCATAATAATATCCGAATAGGTACGGTGGTATAAACGTTGCCCCCCTCCCCCGAACTCGTCGAAACTGTAATGTTCGTGACTGTATCAAAGGCCCAATAATATAATTATAATATTGCATTAAGTACAGACTATTATTATTATCAACTTCAGTGCGTGATTTGTATTAAAATATTATTATTATTATTATTATCAACATCGGTGCACAATTTGTATTATTATATTAATAATGTCCGTCACACTGTCATGTCACTCTATTGAGCAGAAGATGGGCCATCGGCGTACTATATTTGCCGCCGACCGGTACACACAAACACACCCTATCGATAGTAATTCATTTTAATATTAATTGTAAATGTTCCGTCTGTTTCACGTTTATATTAATTATCCCCGTCGTCCGATCGTGATCCGAGTCCAACAGTCGATGAGTAATTTATGCGATAAATGAATATATACAATAAAAACTTGTGCGTAGCTCAGCGATTCTAATTAACCAATAATACAATATGTTCTACATTTGTGTTTATATGTTTAATAGAAACTCGAATAGCTCATACTATATCTACTCCTACGGCCCCAATTAGTAAAAATGTATAATTATTTACGATGTCATTAGTTAGGCTTGAATAATCGAACAATTCATAATAATTGTATTAATAATACTAGAACAATAGTGTGTAAGTTGTATATTGTTGATCTACAACAAGTGTACATATCTATGCCTATAATATTTTGTGTTGTATTTAAAGTGTCCGTGTTCGGCGAAGAATTTATTTGGATTTTGGGAATCATGCTATATCTTTCTTTTCCGATGACTGCGCAGCCAGTATTCTGTTATCTTTACCAACTATGATGGTGGGCCAGATTGGTTATATTTTTAAGTCAGAAATAAAATCTTTAATGTCGGCGGTAAGACTTTGGTTGAAAATCTCTAATTTTCCATTGCACGAATCGAGTACTAATTTTCTAAACAAAGTTTAAGTTAAACATTTCTAGTTCGGCTAGGTCATAGCGCTGTGCACAATAATCAAATTTTAATTCAGGGTGCCAAGCTGAGCTACCCGAAACCCCCTGTCGAGATCGCAATGCAAAAGTTCTTGTACAATGAACTACCCACCAATAATAGATACAACGAGCCTTGCACATATTTTTAAAACTTCGCCAAGTTTTTCTACCATCTAACGCACGTTGCTTTGTCGATGTCGTTTCGTCTACGTCTGTACGCAGCTTAATATTGTATAGAATATATTTTTATAATAAAGTATTATATCAAAACATACTTTTTACATACCTATATTGTGTACGTTACTGACATCCCGCCATCGTTGTCGCGTTTGTGCTCTCTCTGCATCCACGCTGTGGTCTCAATGAGTGTCGAACGTCGTCTTCCAATTATTTATAATATTATACCCTCCTGGGTCGTATTGTCAACGACCTCAATGTGTACGTGCCTTCAGTGTAGTGGTGTGATCAATATGAGCATTTATTGTCATCCGATGTCATTTTGTCACCGTTGGTCGCGTGTGTGAGACATATATAATTATGTATAACGTAATAATAATATAGACACACCATTTTAGTGTAACTGATATAACCGATTGTCAAATTAATTAAAAATAAACAGCCTACATTTTATACTACTTTAATTACATAAATTATAAATTACAAATTATAATAATTAATAGCTATTAATCTAAGAATGTAAATTATATTATAGTTGTTTTTAAATACCTATCAATATAACAATATAAAATATAATACATGTATAACTTTAAGCAGGCCGCTTTTATGAGTGCACTGCAATGATTCAAATTACCAAATTGGTAATAACCTGTAGGTTATCAAAAACTTTTGAAATTATAATAAATTATCCATAGATGACTTGTTAACTTAATTTAATAAGTGTTTGTCCAACACTTCAATTAACGATTGAATTCATATTTTTAATAATTATTTAACAATAAGTTCTTAAACTTTAATAATAATTAATGAAGGTATTTATAGTAATAAGTTAATTGTGACTTCGGGTCAGGGGGTATCCGTATAGTAAAAAAGTGCTATTCTATAGAACTATATAATCACGCAAATGTAGTTTAACGTGTCAAGGGGACTTTATATTATATGAAATTAATCATCTACAGAAGGATATTTCTATTCTTTATGCATAAGTTTTTCTGAGCACTTGTGAAAGAGATTTTTATCAATAAAAAACACGTTTGGTTTACAAATCTATAATAATAAACTATTAATGCATTTTAAATAGTATACTATTTGCTGTATCGGAAGATGCCTTTTAATAATTATATCAGTGAGTTCGCTCGTGTTGCGATGCTGACTGAAGTGTGTAATTTTAATAATACGTATATTGTATACAATGAATGATCTCACTCGTAATTATTGTTATAATTAAAATAAAATAAATAATAATTTAGACAGAGTCGAAAAGAGGAGAATGTGAATATTTCGAGTAGGTAAATTTTATAATAGTGTGTATGTAGTCGTTAGTGTATAATTTATGTAAAATAGAATGTAATAAAATAAATGTTCATCTCAAAATGAAATCACTCCACATTATTTTTCACTAATTCGTCCTACACCCAACCCACATATACAATAATAATACAAATACAGTATTAAAATGTATAACAAATAAAATATAATTTTTATATAAATACTGCAGCTAGTGCCTAGTACGCTACTATAATATTAATACTCTAGTCCGGATTAAGTAGAAATTCGCCTTAAGACAATGATTTTATCGTGGCAACAAATTACATCCCCAGAATTCCTCTTTTTTTTTTTTGAACATGTGCTCATATATAACATGTAAATCAACGCCCATCAAACAGAGTATTTTTTATACCAGTTTACACTACCTAGAAGTAGCGGTGCAGTACCTAAATTACTAATAAGTAAACATACAAATATAAATTAATTATTTACCTATACAAATAATTATGAAGTATACATTATATATAACAACGTGTAATATTTGACACCTTCGAAAAATTTGTTGCTCTAGGCAATTTACGTGAATCTGGTAGTTGGTAACTGGTACTGTAATTTACTAGCACAGACACTAGACTGTAAAGTAGGTATATTTAATGTATGATACTATAATAAATAAAATAATTAATAGTAATATTAAAAAATATATCCAACCTACTATCACCAGCAATGTTAGTCCAGCATTCGAATCTTACTTTACAACAGCTGAAGTCAGACAATCATCCTCTGCTCCTATTTTCATGAATAATGGGCACTCAAACAGCTGGTTCTAGACGCATGTATTAATGTTATATACACAACCCACCCATACCTTTTGTTGACCTCAACGTGATTGCGTGACATTTTATATTATAATTTACATCATATTTTCGTGTATTTTTTGAATTGGGAATGTAATCAGTTTTTGTTATCTCTGTAATTTGAATTTTGAAATCTCATTTTATGACTACCTACGTTGAAAGAACACCAGCTAGAAATTACTAGATTTTTTGCTTTTAGCGCTTGTTAGTTTCAAAAACCATCGCCCTATTATGTTGCTTAATTATGTAGCAAATCGTTGCAAATTAGTTGCAAAGAAATTAAACCGATTTGGAGCCGAGCGGAGAAATGCGAAATGCCAATAATTGCACGTACGTGTTCTGTAGTGCAGGAACTGAACTAAGTTCTAAATTCATTTTTTAAATTAATGTAATACATTTAGTTAAATAGATTTAAGCAGCTCGATTAGCAGTTAGTTGTTGGTACTGTCAGGTGAAAACTGACGAGTTGTAAATCTCGGATATAACCATCAAAAATACATAAAGTTATAAACTACTTTGCATATTTTTTTTTAACGCAATCAGAATTGTTACATGGTCTGACATAAATTCAATTAATGAAGTCAAGATCTCAAATCTGCAAACTTATTTTGCATAATATAATGATTATTTCTAGACTTAATAGTTGATAGCATATTTACGATATATTATAAAACGATATTCTTAATTTTAAGTACGTAGGTACAAAGTTGACGAGCGTGGATTGGTTATTTTTAGGTTTTTAAAAATTGTTTATTGCCGAATCTTGGAATGACTTTTAAAATTGAAAACCTAGAAAAAATCATTGTAATCCAATGCAATCCTTATATTTAAAATTCTTAACTATTAAAATGATTAATTTTATATTAGTGTAAGCCAAGGAGTTGATTGTTTTGAAACTGTCAGTTATCTGGTGGGGACTCATGTCCTTATGAGTTACACATTTTTGTATTTGTTTTGTAATCTATTTAAAACGGGAACAACGATATTTTGGTTAAGTGTTGACGAGTTTAACAATAAAGTTAAAATACACGATTAATAATTAAATATAATAATATTGATAAGAACCTCTCAACGCTTGTGGCTCAACACCAATTATTAAATGGCTCTTCTGAACTACCAGTACAATGCATCAATACTATATACAATATTTTAATATAGATAAAATGTATGGTAACTTATTTGTATGCTTGGTATTTAGGTACCCATAAACAAAGTATTGGCAGCCTAAAAGAGAATATTATGTTGCCTAAAATCCTAATACATTCAAATATTATCGCATAACAAATATTACCTTTATAAATATAATATGTACTTGTGTGTATCAGAATAACAAACAATTCACACGCACTTGTTAGTATAAACTATATGTCTATATAGTAATAAATCGTTCGTCTATTCGAGCTTAACTAATGATATAATAAATAATAATACATTTTTACTAATTAGAGCCTTAGGAGCAGATGAGCCATTCGAGTTAGTATTAAAAATATAAACACAAATGGAGAACAGGTATTATATTGATTAATTAGAGTCACTGCGCGGTACACATACGTATTTATTGTATATTATGTTTATTTATAGTCTAAATTATAAAGCGACTGGAGAACTCCGGATTCATGGGAATGATTAATATCGGCGTAACACAGAAAATATATGAATATTAAAATTAATTACCTACTATCGAGAACATGCATTTGTGTGAGTACCGGTCGGCGACAAATATTACACGACTATTATGGGCCATCTTCTACTTAAAAGAGTGACGCGACAGCGTGTCATATAATAGTAATATTATGATACATTATAATTTATAATATAAATCGCGCCCCGATGTTGATAATAATAATAATATATTGATATCTTATAGAGTATAAATTTGTCTATGATACCGGTACAGACATGCCTAAGAAATACATTATACACATGTGAGTTCACGTAGAATACAACGGCAATAAGCAAAGAGCAAAACCTCACCTACCATTTTCCATACAGAATAAAATGAAGAACGGTTTAAATGCTATTCATCGTTATGTGTTTAAAATAATTGGTTTACCTAATCTAACATTTACCTCGGAGTTACGTCTCGCGTCATACAGTATAGGTTTGCTGAAATTTTAGTACAATTATACCACAATGAGAACGGCTTAAATTTAATACAAATTTGCAAGACTCCTGATGGACATCAGGAAATAATTAAGAAAAATGTACTATGTTTCTGGATATAAAGAAATATAGTGGAGTTACTGGAAAACCCATATTTTGAGGACATTCTGGAAACCAAAAGAAGAACACAAAGTTACTTAGTTTTTTACGCATTTGATTACGGTTCACGTATAATGCTTGGTATATAAAATTCGACTTTTTTAGTTTATATTTTATTTATTTTATACTTTTTTTTTTATTGATTTTTATACTACGGACCGCTTGTGTTTAGCCATATATGACTCGTTTGGAACATCAAAGAGATGACGGAGGCTGGGGTCTTGTCAGGAAATTCAATTTTAGTCCTAAAATTCGGAAATTTGAGGAGAGATAAAAACAACACACTAAAAGCTCTCTCGTTTTCACTTCGCTCACCTTTAAACGTACACACACACACGTAAGACGCAATGCACCGTACGTATTTACATTTTACAATAATTATTGTTTTATTATTATTTGGCATGTATAGTAGATATATATATATATATATATTATATATATAATCGCGATTGTAATATTATAACAATATTCGGTTAAACACAGACGTCCCATACAATATAGGCGTGTTATGTACGCGTATATTCACTAATGGCAATCGCTGTGCGTTATGAGGATTTATGAATACTGTCGGGCGAATATACACGAACGCGTTTGCATATAGGCAGGTAATTCCCTGGCACGAAATATCCACGGTGTGTGTGTGTACCGAGGTTTTAATTTAATTGAATTTCGTGTTCATTAAGTACGAAACATGTATGACTATTAGTTATTACAAACAAATTGGACACGTGAAACGAACGGTTTATATTATAATATTTCGCTACATATTTATTTTATCAACACATATTATAGAGGTACATTATACAATCTACAGCGTGTTCGTCTCATTCCGTGCACGTTTACTGTAAAATAAATCAAACTCATAATTTTATACCGAGATTTTCATTTATGCCGCATAGCACCAAACGAAAAAACTGTTTAACGATCTCCACAATATAATTATAATAAATGTGATGATTTTGAATCGATGTGAAGCATATATTATTGTTTATTATATACATAACAGCCAGTGTTAAAATAAATATTAAGTATAATATCACCTGCGTAGACATTTGGCGATTAAACTAATACGCATTAGACAATGTTATTGAATACCAAACAACTACTGTACCTACCTGTTGTAGATTCACCCGTTATGTGTCAAGTGTTTGTTTTTCTTGAGGAATTTGATCCATGAAAAGATAACATTTTTAGGAGACGGTCTGGTACGTTTAAGTGTGCGTATAGATAACCTGGTAAATAAAACATTTGGCTCGAGTTCATGATGATATAATTAACCAGAAATGCTGAGTGTACCTACATATAGTTTTAAGACTTCATTATAACTTGACAGAACGACGAGAAAATATTATATACAATTTACATAGATACATAAATAGGGAGATACCTACCACAGTTACATTGATTTATGTTCTAAGTAAATTAGATATATCAATTTCGGCGTTGACTCAAATAAGTTATTGTTTATCGTCGGTTTATTGAGTGATTATTGTTTTACAATATTTTCATTCATTGTATTCCATGTCGTTTACTATTAATTGTATAACATTCATTACGAAATTGGAAATCTAAGTGTATACGTTTATTCAAATATCGTATTTATTGTTTGTAATGAGATGCAGGTCGAGTTTTTCATCGCGTTCATTGTTTACATGAGTATAAGGCCATAAGGAGACCGCATCAACTATTCGGTTTACTTTAGTCGACAGATGGAAACAGAAACGATATCCAAAAGGCTTCAGACTCACGATGGAAAAGCAAAACAAATTCAGGAAAACTAGAACTGGGACCGAATTTATTTATAGATTGAAATAGATCCAAAAATAAAAATGTTTTCCACTACCTTCCAAGTTTCAATTGTATTGACCTGAACAACTAGAATTTAAAACTAAAATATGTACCTATATCCTTTAATAAAATCAAAACTTAATCTATACATCCATGTTAACTTTGTGTAAAATGTAGAATATGTTTGAATTTAATTGTAAGTTGTTTAGATCGATATCGTCTTCAGTGTCGCTAACATATTATAAATTCGTAACGAGAAGCGATACCGATGTAAAACAAATAATAATTTATTTTTATTATACTATTTATTTTATTGGAATCAATAAAAGAACCTGTTAAGAGTCAAAAAACCTCTAAAAATATCGATTTGAACTACGAAAAGTTTCCGGTTCCAACACCGGTTCTTAACGGTTCGGTTCCAGAGGTGTAATTTTATTATGGGCCTGCACATATTATATTTATATAATACAGATAAAACTGTCCAAATTTCCAACCATATATTAGTAATTCGAAAAAAACAATATTTTCAAAAAAGTTTAAGCTTTTTGGAATAATGAGTGTAGACACTGAAATGGATGACCTTGTACATTATTACAATGGCTTCCGGTATATTTGTATACTGTTATTGTAATACTCAATGTACCGGGGCGGGGTTTAATCGGTCGAATAAAAAAAAAAATAACGAATTTAATCTGCTAAAACATTTATGAGTGTTGTTTGATGAAAGTTTTTTTTTTAATTAAGAACTTTTAACAGATTTTAATGAAAAATATATTCAAAATGTCAATTCTCGGAAGAGTAGAATAGAGCTAAAACAACGTTAATTAATCCTATGCCATTATTTTTCGGCGTAACGATATTATATAAACCTCTCCTAATAAAGGACGAGCGTTTGGCGGCATCAAAAAAATAAAAACGAAAACCAGAGGGAAAGCGTGAGCGAAAATAAAACAAAAAACAAAAAAACAATAAACCTTTAAATTAAATTTCACCAAATCCATTTTCCGACGGGTCTCGTCGCGATTCCGGCATCCGTCGTATGTGCGGGTGACGCGCGATGTGAGGACGCCACGCGCGTTTGTGTGTCATTCGTCTGCCGGCTAGAAGCTATATTATGCCGCGACGGGATGACGTGTTGATGTACACAAGCGTCTAATGTGCTGCCGTCAAACATATTATTATTATTATTATTATTATTCTTATTTTTGTTGTTATTATTATTATTATTACTATTATTATGCGAAAGAGCGTCGTATAATATTATTATGTGTAAGGTTTTGTACAGGGCGACACAACGTTTTTTTGTTCGAGTTTTTCAAACGAGAAACGCGTAAGCATCGCGTCGGTTCACCCTGTGTGTTATGATATTTTGTGAACACGAAATATTATATTGTGATGATATCATTTCGATTGTCAAAAAGTGTTTCCGAATAAAGATTCTTCTCGTCGTCGAGTTCGCCTTATATAAATATAATAATATGTGTGACACAATAATAATAATAGTAATAATATAACCGTACGCAAGACCAACGTAAATAACAATAATCATAAGACGAATAAAATCAACATTAATCTGGTCGTCTGTCACGAGCACTCATCACTGCGACGGTGGCGGCGGCGTCATCGTCGGCGACGTCGACGTCAAGTTATGCAAATAATATATTATTATAATAATATTATGTACCTAGGTGTACCCCAAATCGTTTTCTTCGGCAATCTTCACCCGCCCGGACGCGAACAGCGACGTACCTACCAGATGTATGCATTACACACACACACACACACACGAGAGGGAAAGAGAGAGAGAGAAAGAGGAAAAATACGATTATTGTGTGTATAAAACGGATTCTCCGATGTAGAAAAATGGGGCGAGAAAATGTTTGGTTAAAGGGAGACTTTGGGCGCGCTTGTGCTGCCGCAGTGGCCTTGAATATTTTTTGTATCCGGGACGGAACGAATTTAGTAGTGCGCATAATATCTTAATAGTATTACTATTCGATACGGCGCGATGCCGTATAATAATATTATAATACAGCCAGTTTAGTGATTTCGCTTTGTATTGAAATTTGAAATACAAGAACATGAATCAAATCATGTAACATTTGTAATATTAAATTGACCTTTCATTAGAATAATTCTAGCATCATTAATATGATAATATAATTCTTAATATAATTCTAATAACTATTATGGATTTTAAATATTGAATTTATAGCTGATTATAGGTAATCATTAGTACCTAGGTTAAGGAATTCGTGTTAAGTTCATTCTAAATATTCATGTAGATATGCACTATCAAATAAACAACAAATAGTTGACATTTTTATATTTTATTTATTCGTATTATCAATCTTTCTCTTTTTTCATAATTATATCGATTCCACATTATAATTTCATCCTATTCTTCAATAATAAAAATAAAAAACCATAGGCCAATATAATATAGAAATTGTCAGCGAAGAGCTTACCTTGTGGAAAACACACAATGCTGGTGGTATAAAAATGTGGTAATTAAAATTTTTATCAACATATTTTTTTTTTTTTTTTGAGATTAGATTGAGAAAAAACTACAAATCTAGATAATTAATATTTTATATTAAAAAGTATTCAAAATACAATTTTTTTATTTAGGTCCCTTGAATTCATGTACCAAATAAGATTTTTATTTGACTAACCTCTATTATAGTTGTGTAACTACCCGAAAAAAACATGTAAATGCTATAAGTCCCTAAGCCTAAATGTATAACATCGAATAAACAAACTGCAGTCTGTACCAATGCGATACACCGGAACTCTCTTTAATAGTACATAATACTGTACATGGGTATACCTACTGCCTACACGTTATACCTTTTACCTACTTATCACGTGAACAAGTGATGCGTTTCATGTGTGGTAGGTATAGGTACGTCTACTCGTATTGGTATTAGTCCGTATGTACAACATAGTAGTCATAGTACCATCATACATATTCAAACCTTTTTTTGCAAATATTCATAATAACTATGTAATTTATTTGTAAGATCGTTTGCCAAATTTGTGCAACTTTAGTTTTAGCGCATCAAACAAAAAAAAAAGATCGATGCTGTAAAAAAACCTTTACCCTTTCCACTAGACCAAGGTTTTTCGTTAATTTTAATATTTAGTATACATTCGTATATGCCACTTTTCGAGTTGTATGTGGTAATTATTCGTTTCATTTGATGCCTTAAAAGTTAAAATATTATTGGAAGGTGCTCACGGTGATTAAAAAGTATTTGAACGATGTAAAAATGTGTGCACTGTTTCGTGGCTTATGACTATCCCTTGTTGGATGTCGTTTAGAAAAATAAAAAAGGTACCAAGCTGAGAAATAAAAAAGATATTAATTAATGCTCCACCACTGCACTTGTTTTCAATCATGGGTTCAAATCAATAATAAAATAATAATGGTTTATGAAAATTTAATCTTGAACTATATTTAATTACTAAGTTGGGCATTTATTGAAATGAAATAATATTATCTGCTGTAAGTATACATGAGAGAGGATGTCGGTATACCATTTTTTTCTATCTCTGATCCACTCACAACATAGCAAATTTTCATTCAGCAGAATCATT